GTCCCCTGGAGTCTTTAGTGGCCTCTCTGGAATATGAGAGGAAATGCCATTGGACAACACAGGCTCACAGAGCCCAGGATGAAGGGCAAGGGCTGTGGGCGAATTTATCTAGAGACGAGACAGAGCCTACAGAGCCAGACAGCCTGGGTTTGAATCCTGGCTCCAGGCTTACCAGCTGCGTGTCCTTGGGCAAGTGACTCCATCTCAGGCTTTGCATCTGTGCGTCTCAGGCTTTGCATCTGTGAAGTTCAGCAATAAAAACACAACGCTCCAGGGCTATTGGATTAATGAAATTAATCTACAGTGAATGCTTAGAGCAGAGCCTGGCACAGAGTTGGGACTCAATACGAGCCCACTGGTGCTCTTCCTGCCTCTCCTTGCAATGCCTGTGGGGGCCGTGGGATCGTGTGGGGGAGCGGAGTGGGCTGTGGGAGGAGGAGGTAGATGGGGAATGAGCGACCGCTCCTCTGATCTCCCCTCTGTGGGTCTGGCTGCCTTGCTCCTGCCCCAGCCCCACCTGCCCCCAGCTGGTGGCTTCAGGGATTGTATTCAACTTCTCTGTGCCTCTGCAAAGGGAGGCCAATCATGACAGTACCTCCCTCACAGGGCCGTGTGGAAGATTAAAGAAGCGATTACAAGTAAAGCATTTAGACTGCCCTCTGAGCAGTCAGCTCTCAACGAATATTGTCTGGCACCATCTTCCTACTTCAGTTACATGGTTCTCGTGCACCACATGCAGCAGACTCACCCAGAAGCTTAGTCCCAGTCCCCACCTCCAGAGACAGACTCAATTGCTCAGGGGTGGCCCAGGACTCTGCATTTCTACAAGCCCCACTTGTCCTCCCAAAAGCACTGCAAGGTACCCAGAAACTCCAGCTTTTCCATTTTCCCTTCCCTGCTTCAGGCCACACCAGAACCCAGAACCTCATCATCCTTTGTCAAGCCCAATATTCCATTCAGAAGGCACCCCACTCCCCTCCTACCCCTCATCCCCTGTTCAAGGAAGTTTGTCTTTGGGTTAAAGTTCCAGTCTTTAGACTTCTATGATTGTTAAAAACATATATTTCTAAAAAAAAAAAAAAGGAAAAAATGAATGCCTGCGTGAATGATGAATTCCATTCCATAGAAGAGTGATTCTCAGTGAACTAAACCAGCCTCCCCCCCTACTGAATCAGGTGCAGGAATCTTCCACCACTCTGCTTCTACCCATTCTGCTGACCCCTGGAGTTTCAGGACCTCTCTGCCTTTGGCTGGGGACCTGGAGCTGCCTTAGAGCCCAAGGAGTTGCGGGGCGGGGGGTGGGGGGCGGATTGTAGGGTTGGCGGAGGGCGGGGCACCTCTGCCCGGCTATAGGAGGGTGCTCATGTACAAAGGCCTGCTTGGCCCTTGTGAACCCGGGGAAACTCCTGCCTCCTTGTCACGCCAGACACCCCCTCCCTGGAGGCATGGATGGGAGCCTGGGCACATGGGCACCAACTTCTGACCCAGTATATGCAGCCACACCCATCTTCCTTTGTTCCTCCAATCTGCTGAGCCTTTTCCCACCCCAGGGCCTTTGCCCCTGCCATTCTGTCTGCCAGACACACCCTCCCCCATCTACATTCAGTGTAGACTCCATCTCCTCCTGGACTCAGCTCAAATGTCACCTTCTTGAGAGACCTTCCCTACTCGTCGCCCAGTGGCCCCCCTCCTATTCTCAATCTCACCCAACTTCTTCCCTTTGATATGATTTGTAATTATTCCATGTATTGTTTATTTTGTCTGGTTCTGATTCTCTCACCAGACTAGAAGTTGCTGGAGAAGCAGGGTGTCTGTTATTGCCTAGAGCCAAGCACAGTGCCTGGCACATCGTAGGCCCACAGGAAGTAATGGTTGACGGGATAAATACTTTTTTTAAGATTTTATTTATTTATTTAATTGACAGAGAGAGAGAGACAGCGTGAGGGGGAACACAAGTAGGGAGAGTGGGAGAGGGAGAAGCAGGCCTCCAGCTGAGCAGGGAGCCCGATGCGGGGCTTGATCCCAGGACCCCAGGATCATGACCTGAGCCGAAGGCAGTCGCTTAACCAACTGAGCCACCCAGGCGCCCCTGGATAAATACATTTTTATCCAAGTCAAACTCCTTGAAAGTCAATTACCCAGGAGAGCAGAGGTTTTAATTGGTGTTGAAGGGCACACCTTAGGAGTATGATGGAAATCCTGCTACTATGAGCAACATTTTTTAAATAGGTACATTTTGTTTTTCTGAACAGACAAACCAAAGTTTTCATCACATTTTCAAAATGCCCCCCAAAAAGGTAAAGAAGTTTGTTCTAAAGAAAGTTCTTTGAAATAGTAAAGGTGATGGCTAATAGGTGAGGTTTGGGGCATCCAGCAGCTCCACCTTCCAAAGGAAACAACATCTTACCACTCAGGGGAGGGCCAGAGAGGCTGCTAGGGTGGCAGCTCATCCTCGTCCCGGCTGGGAGCTCTGCAGGCCGCTGGGTTCCTCTGGGTCCCCGCCCCCCCACATGCGTTATGAGGGTGGAATGAGATCACCTGTGGGGCAGGCTTAGCACAGTGAACGAGGCCCACCAAATAAATGTCAGCACCACCATCCTCGGAGGTAGCCGCTGGGGATTGGGGCGGGGTGGGAGGCGCTGGAGGGGAGGGAGAGAGCACACCAGCTAACCTTTCCCTTCAATGTCCACTCAAACTCCATCTCCTCAGGGAGGTCATTTCTCTGATAACCCTCTCCCCACTGCTCAGGTCTCCCCTCACTGGGCCCTCGCAGAGCACCTCCCGCCTCCCCTTCACAACCACACGTCACCATCCCGTGCTCACAGCAGGGATGGCTGAAGACTGGCAGTCTCCCCACGGGGACGGGGGCACCACAAGGACAAGGAACTGCAGGGCTCACCCCTGAGCAGTGCCTTCCTGCTCCCCTGTCCTGCACCAGGCTTGGAAAAGTCTACACCTTCCACCCGTCATCTCTATAGACTCGGTGGCCCTGAGAGCCACAGCCTGTGATGAGGCAGGGATAACAGCCCTCCCCACTCCCCAGTTCAGAACTCCAAAGAGCCAAGGACAACAGGTTTGTTCCTCCCAACAGTGCCCACTCTTCTCCAATTTTCTGCACAAAAAATAAAATCCCAACTGGTTACACAAGACCAGGAAGACTGGAAAAGTACATTTCGAGGTAATTGATATTCTACAAACATCCCCAAGGCGAGTGTGAACCCTGCGAGGACGTCAATTCCGGAAAGCCAACACCCTGAACTAATGCTTTCGTTATGATCTCTTACAAAACTGGATGTGAAGTGCCCAAAGATGGCCCCAGGGCTTCGTGAGCTCTGCAAAGGACCCTGCACATTCCCTACTGCCCGAGAGGAGAGCACAGGGAGTGAAGAGTGCCTTTTGTCTCAGAGCTCCCAGCAGCTGAACTGTGGGGCCCAGACCCCTGAGGCCTGTGTGGCTGCAGTGGGAAACTTTAGAGAATTTGGAGCAGAGGAGGGCCCTGGTCTGATTAACATCTTAAAGTGACCTTGCAGGGGACACCGGGGTGGCTCAGCGGGTTAAGCGTCTGATTCTTGGTTTTGGCTCAGGTCACGATCTCAGGATCGTGAGACCGAGCCCTCCACTGGGCTCTGCGCTCAGCAGGGAGTCGGCTTGAGATTGTCTTCCTTTCCTCTCCCTCTGCCCCTCCACCCACCTCAAATAAAAACATAAATCTTAAAAAAAAAAAAAATGACTGTACAGACTGTTGTGTACGAAAGAGATTGTAGGCGGACAAGGGAGAAAGGTAGGGACACCCCAGCATAATCCAGGCCGATGTGAGGGTGGCTGAGAAGGAGCTGCTGGACGTGGTCAGATTCTGGAAGTGCTGGCAGGATTTTCTGAGAGATGGGCTGTGGGCAATGAGGAAAGAAGAGTCAAGAGGAACTCCAAGGGCTGAGGCCAGAGCAACTGGATGGACTGTGGCACCATTTCTTGAGATGGTGAGGACAGGGGGATTTGAACTGAAGTTTCTCTGACCCCCAACTCCAGAGCAATGGAGTAAACCTAACGCTTTGGCTTCAAGGCTCTCTGTCTACGTCCTGTAAATCTTATCCATAAACCATCCATCCAACTGTTCATTCATTCATTCATTCATTCATTCATTCATATCATTTAACAAATATTTATTGCTAACTACCATGCAGTAAACCTGGGAGGCCCTGGACACATGAGGATTAATTCGACTCACACCCTGCCCTACAGAAACTTATAATTTGGTAGGCGGTTCAGAGATCAACTTTTCTCACTCATTCATGTATTCAGTCATTTAGTCACTCAACAAACATCCATTAACACTAATTTCTGGCAAGCAAGCATCATGGTGGGCACTGCAAATGATCTTGCCCTTAAGAAAGTCCTAGGGGCGCCTGGGTGCCTCAGTCGTTAAGCGTCTGCCTTTGGCTCAGGTCATGATCCCAGGGTCCTGGGATCGAGCCCCACATCGGGCTCCCTGCTCGGCGGGAAACCTGCTTCTCCCTCTCCCCCTGCTTGTGTTCCCTCTCTCGCTGTGTCTCTCTCTGTCAAATAAATAAATAAAATCTTAAAAAAGAAAAAGAAAAAAAGAAAGTCCTAGTCCAATTGGAAAGCCTGAAATTAGCCATCCTCATTCATTTACTGTAGGATCCCCAAGGATCCCCACCACCCAGCCTGTGCAGGGTCTAGGAGAGGACTGTTGCTGGATGACCCAACAGTGGGCTCTACTGGGCGTATCCAAGCAACACGGCCTCCCTCTGGGTCCCTGGCCCTCCCCCCAGGGTTCCACCTGCTGCCCTTACCATGTGAGCAAAGCCCAGCAGCAGCTGCCAGAGCCCATCACGACACCCCCCAACGGCATGCTCAGGGCTAACCCTGGTGTCGCCCTCCGACAGAAAACCATGAGTCCATCATTCAGGCAGCCACCCCCGTAACCACCCACCTGGGTACCATCTGACCTTTCTTGACACCCGCAGGTCCCAGAACCCAAGATGTGTCCAATCTGGAGGCTCCTGGTCCTCCTCAGCTTGCTGTCCGTGCCCTCAGCACTGCACAAGGAGCCCTGGCGTGGCCTGGCCAAGGCCCACGTGGACAGCAAACCAGCTCTGGCGAGAAGTAAGCTCAGCCCGTGCTCTGCCCACGGTCACAGGGTGGGTGGGGAAGGCATCATCCTGCCGGGTGACCTCGGGTCAGTCACTCCCTCTCTTCCTTTTTCTCTTAGACCTCAAGTACAGAAAACTGAGGTTGAGTTGATCACATGCCAGTTCATAGCACGTCATCATTACAGTGAATCATGGCAAGGCCCTCTTGTGGGTTTTTTTGTCGTTTTCCCCTTTACTGCTTATTCTCACTCCCACCCCCACTTCCTCAGCAGGCCCTGCGGTGTGTTTAACACATGTGTTTATATACCCTCATGTCCTGATATACAGTGTTTTGATTTGCGTAGATGATACTGCCATATGGATCTTGTTGGTTTTTACTGTTTTCATTGGACACTGTGCTGTTGACATCTGTTGCTTCAGGCTGGTACTGAGAAGTCCATGAGATTGGACTCACCACCGTTTGGCCATTTCCCTAGGGACGGACACCTGTGTCGTCTCTAAGTCCCCACTATTAGAAGCTACCCTGGGGCGCCTGGGTGGCTCAGTCGGTTAAGCGTCTGCCTTCGGCTCAGGTCATGATCCCAGGGTCCTGGGATCGAGCCCCGCATCGGGCTCTCTGCTCAGCGGGAAGCCTGCTTCTCCCTCTCCCACTCCCCCTACTTGTGTTCCCTCTCTCGCTGTGTCTCTCTCTGTCAAATAAATAAATAAAATCTTTAAAAAAAAAAAAAAAAAAAAGAAGCTACCCTGAGATGAACATCCTTGCATGTGGCCCTGTAAGGACAGGGAAGAATGTCTCTGGGATAGACCCAGAAGTGAACGGGGTCACTGGGCCTTAGGGTGGGTACAAATTCAATTTAACTAACGACTGCCAGATTGCTCTCTAGAAGGGCTGTGCTGGTCTATACCCGCTCCAGCGACAAACGAGCACACCTGTCTCCCCACACCTGTTTCCCAACACTGGAGAGGATCCATCTGCCTCAGTCTACTCCAGTGGCCACAGCAAGATACCACAGGCTGGGGGGCTCAAACAATAGACATTTCTTTTCTCACAGTTCTGGAGGCTGGAAGTTCAAAATCAAGACGCCCACAGGGTCGGTTTCTGACGAAACCCCTCTTCTCTCTTCCTTCTGGCTTGTGGGTCTCTGCCCTCTCCCTGTGTCCTCACATGGGCCTTCCTTCTGTGTGTGCACAGAGAGTACACCCTGCTATCTCTCTCTTTTCTTAGAAGGACACCAGTCTTTTTTTTTTTTTTAAAGATTTTATTTATTTTATTTGAGAGAGAGAATGAGATAGAGAGAGCATGAGAGTGGGGAGGGTCAGGGGGAGAAGCAGACTCTCTGCTGAGCAGGGAGCCCGATGCGGGACTCGATCCCGGGACTCCAGGATCATGACCTGAGCCGAAGGCAGTCGCCTAACCAACTGAGCCACCCAGGCGCCCCAGAAGGACACCAGTCTTATCGGATTAGGGCCCCAACCTTATGACCACATTTAACCCTCTTTACCTCCTTCAAGGCCCTGTCTCCAAATACAGTCCCACTGGAGACTAAAACCTCAATATATCAATTTGGGGGCAGAGGAGGTACACAATTCAGTATGTAGCACTATCTTTCTCCTTTTTGCCAGCCTGAAGTACATTTGAGTGATATCAGCTTGTCTCAGCTTGACTTCATCCGATCAGTGGGAAGCTTGGGCATCTCATCCCAGTTTTGTTAGCCATTTGACTTCTTTGAATTCCCTGTCCTTATCTCTTGTCCATGTTTCTCTTTGCCTACCAGGGGTTTTTTTATCCTCTCTGATTTGAGTGTTAATTTATTCTTTTTTTCTTTTTAAGATTTTTTATTTATTTACTTGACAGAGAGAGAGCACAAGCAGGGGAAGCGGCAGGCAGAGGGAGAGGGAGAAGCAGGCTCTCTGCTGAGCAGGGAGCCCAACGCGGGGCTCAATCTCAGGACCCTGGGATCATGACCTGAGCTGAACGTAGTTGCTTAACCAACTGAGCCACCCAGGCGCCCCTAGTGTTAACTTATTCTTGATGCTGGTCCTTCATCAGGTCTAACCAGTGCTAACATTTCTCCCAAACTGTCATCAACTTTGTTTGTAGGTCCTTCGCCGAACAGGAAGATTTTCAAACTCATCAAAATTTCATCCCATGGTTTGTGTCTGATGAGTCGTAAACCCTTGTCTCTACCCCAGGCATCTTCTACTTTGTTGTCCCTAATAGCTTTATCGTTTTACCCTTCACGTTCAGGATTTTAACCCATCTGGAGGCCACCTTTATGTTGCTTATGCATGTAAGTCACGGCCTCAGCTTCACTTCCGTCTGTGTAAGGAGTCTGTTTTCTCAACCCATCTATGAAAGATCAAGTTCCCAAGCACGTGGATTCCCTTTGGGGCTCTGTATTCTGTGTCTGTGTTTCTACACCACTATTTCTACACCAACAGCAGAAGATTTTAAATGCTACATCTTTGTAAAATGCGATTTTATCTGATTTTTCTTCTTGAATTTTATTTAGAATGTGCTGAGTTCTTTAAAAAAAAATCACTTGGAAATTTGATTTGGGTTTCACTGAATTTGTTAATTTAGAGAGAACTGACATTTTTGCAATATGAGGTTACCCATTAGAAACTTAGTGTATCTTTCAGTTTTTTCCAGATTTTTGAAATCTTTTTTTATCATGTTAAAGAAATCCCCATAGTCCTGGTTTTCTGAATTTTTCTTTTTTTTCTGAATTTTTCTTAATCATAAATCAGTACTGGCTTTTAACAAATGTTTTTCGGCATCTAAAAATTACTCCATTTTTTCCTCTAAACCGTTAATGTGATAAATTGTATTAGCAGATTTTTGTCTGTTGAACCCATCCCAGCATTTCTGGAATAAATATGATATTTTTGTAACTTACTAGAATGATATATCCATATTGCACTATCTTTATAATGATTAGAATGTATTTATAATGTATCATACTAAAATATATTTTATAATGTAATGTATTTTTATAATGTGCTATTGGCTGGCTAGTCAATTTGTTAGGTAATAATTTTATAGGACTTCAGCAGATTTTTCATACATGAAATTGACGTGGACCTTTCCTCCCCTGTACTGTTCCGGAAGCTTGGCAAGTTACACTAGCCTCATAAAATGAATTTGGCATCTTCTTCTTTTTTTATTTTCTTTCACAATTATCTCTTTATATAAAGTTTGGTAAAACTCTTCCCCAAAATCATATAGATCAAAAACTTTTGGGGAATGAAATCTTCAATTACTATTTCTATTTCTTAAATCTTTTAGATTATCAATGTTTCCCACTTCCCTCAACACAACTTGGCATTTTATGGTTTGCCACAAAGGTATCCATTCCATCTAGGTTATGAAATACATTCATGTGTATTCGGGGGCCCATGCATCCTCATGGTTACAATGAGTGCAGTTGGAATGCTATTTCATGGGGCTGCCCTGGAGATTCAAATGAGGAAAAGCATGTGCCAAGTGCTTTTTCAACTGTGAATATATTTATCACTATAACCACCTCTCATATCAGTTAGGGCACTTAGCTGCACAGAACAGAAAACCCAACTCAATATGGCCTAAATGATGAAAAAAAACGTTATTTCATATAACCAAAACTCATAGGCAGGACAAACTCCAGGTCTGATTCAATCAGCAACTCAAAGGTGCCATCCAGAGTTGGATTTTATCCTTTTTTTTTTTTAGCTCTGCTATCATCATAGTTTCATCCTCAGGCTGCTAGTTCCCAGTGTGGTAGGAAAATGGTGGCCAGTGACCAACAGAGTGACAGACTGGCTTGCTCCCTCCCAGGAGGAGACAAATAAAGAAACTTCCCCTCAAACATGAAACATAAGATCTTCCGTTTAGTCTGATAAGGCCAACTTGGGTCACATGCCCACTTCAAACCTGAAAGAGTCACTGGGCAATGATGGCTCAGATAATCAAAGGCCTCATCTGGACTAGGAATTGGAGAAGGAGGCTGAATCAAAACAGGGTTCAGATGGGAATGACAGGATGGATGGATGGGAGGATGGATACACAGATGAATAGATGGGTAGATATTTGGACAGATGGAAGATGGATGGGAGGGTGGATGGATGGATAGACAGATGGGTGGATACTGGACAGAGGATAGGTGGATGGATCAGTAGGTGAATGGGTAGATGGATGTATGGATGGATGGGTGGGTGGATAAATGGATATTGGACTGGCAACTACTAGTGTCTACTGCTCACAATTATCCAAGTGTTGTTATCATTAACCAAGAACTACTAAGAGTTCTAGGCATACCTATAGTATCACTCTATCTTTGAAACTATTTGGTCAGTGTATGTCTCTCTTACTAGACAGAAAACTGGTTTGTGTCTTTGGCCACAAGGCCTGATACCCAATAGATGCTCAATAATATTCTTTTTTGGATAAATGATATTTAACCAAATATCTTTGGATAACTTATCTCAATATTCCTCACAAGAATCCTGTGAGATGGGCATTATTATTGTTCCCATTATACAGATGAGAAAATCAAGACCCAGGAAGGTGGTAGCATTTCAACCCAGATCTAGGACTCCAGACACACTTTCTTATTGGCAGGCAACAGAAACATGGGATACTGAAAGGGGGTCTGGGAGCTGGAGGGAGGGGAGTGAGGAGGAACCATGGTTTCTGCTGCCCTGCAGTGTAGGTTCTGATCACAGGGAGGGTCAAGTCAGGGAAATAAATGTGTCTGTGGTATGCTCAGACATTCATCAGAGCTGGGTCCAATCCTAGCACCCAGACAGGCAGGATTTCAGCATGCCCAGCACTTGAAAATCCCTTTCCTTTTTGGAATTCATTCTTTTCTGCTGGTAGCTCCGCTTAGTCCTACAGCTTATTCTGGGTACAGTGTGGGAAAAATTATATTCATTCTCTTCTTAGTTGTTCTCTTCAAGCAACATTTATTGGGATGTACATGCTGTACGTTAGGTTCTGTGGTCCAGACTCAGAGACTGCACCGGGTGGGCTTTCCACTATTAGATCTAGTCTGAGCAGCTCTTGCCTGCCAGACCCTCTGCAGGGGTGTCGCCTCAGCCCTGCAAAGCACCATTTCCCAGATGAGGCATGCGGATTTCCGAGTAAAGAGTGGAGTTGGGGGCTGACAAGCACCCATCACTCAGCAAGAAGCGAATGCACCAGCCCACACACAACCTAGGCCTCTTGACTCCAAACCCCCTACCTCGTCCACGACATTGTGCAATGTCATTGGTCCCTTGTCCATTTCCAGTTATTGCCCAGGGCCTCATGAAGCACAACGCAGAGGGCCGAATCCAGAACCTCCGCCTCATGGACAGTCTGAATGCCTCAGGGCAGATGGCCCCAGGGATGGTGGGCTGGCTAATAAGCGGCATGAGCCTCCAGCATCAGCAAGAAAGCAGGTGAGCCCCTGAACCCCATCCCTGGCCCTGGGACTCTCTAGAAAGCTCTGGGTCAGAGGGCAGAGCTCAGGGCATGGAGGCTGTGAAGAGAGAAAGCAGGAAGATTGGAAGGAGGGGATAAAAGGCCCAATACAAAAATGAGTGAGGGCCCAATATGAGGGGTCATTTGGGGAGGCAGCATAACAGGGTAATGAAAGCAAAGCCAGGAATAAAGCTTCTGCATTTAAATCCTGGTTCGGCCACCAACCTTGCTGGAGCACTCCAGCCTCATCTATAACATGGGTACCAGAGCACAGCCTGGCTAAACGTCTGGGGTGCCAAAGGAACCCAGGACTAGAGTCGGACATTTGAATACCACTCTCTTGCCTGATAGCTGTGTGACTCTGGGTAAGGTGTCTGAGGTCTCTGAGCTTCAGCCTTAAGCCCTCATCAGTGAAATGGGCGGAATAATTGTCCCTGCCTCAGGGACTTGGGAGCTTTCTCTGTCGCACATAGTGGATGCATAGGCATTGGGTGCTCCGATTAACCCAGCAGAGCTGGCCCGGGGCTGCTCACCTACAGTCCCACTCCTTCCTCTGGAGGGCCGGGCCTCCTCAGCTCCCAGGCTCCCCACTGCTCCAGGTCAGCACCCTAGCTCCAGCCTGCCGCGCCCTTGAGCTCCCTTCTCTCTCATTCCTCCCCTAACTCTCGCCATTCTAATGAGCGCTGGTACTTGCCAGCAGGGTTTCCCTGGACGTGTGCAGCCACAATCACCTCCCTCCTTCCACTCCCTTAATAGTTGTTCAAGTATTCGTTGCGCACCTGCTGTGTACCAGGATCTGGGCTGGGTACTTGGAATACAGCTATGAACGGGACATATGGTCACTGCCTTTTTGGATCTTACATCCAAGTTAGTGAGTTAAGTCACAAAAGTAAATCACTAATTTCACGTAGAGGGATACGTTATAAAGACAACTTTAGCAAGGTAAGGGGTGAGAGTGAGGGCCTGATTGGGAAGAGCTTTCTAAAGAGATAATCCCTAGGAAGAATGAAGAGAAGGAAGCAAACTACGTGAAGGACATAGAAGGGCAGTAAGTGCAAAGGCCCTGAGGTAGGAAAGAGACTGGTGTGTCTGAGAAAGAGAAAAAGTCCTCCGTGGCTGGGTGAGCAAGGGTGTGGCTGTGGAGGCAGGTGAGGCCAGACCCTGCAGGTCTTAGGGGCCATGCTATGGAGTTCGGATTTTATTCCAAGAGCAGTGAGAAACCCAGGGAGAGTGTTAAGTAATAGGGCTGCCTATTGGCTGCCACATGGAGAATAGTTTGTAGGGAGGCCAAGTTCATGGCAAGGAGCCCAGAGAGAAACTAGAGCATCTCCAGGCAAGAAGTGAAAGTGACCTGGTCCAGGTGAAAGGGACAGAAGGAGTCGGAAGTTGCCAAATTCCGGGTATATTTTGTAAGCAGAGCCAGCATGATTCACTGATGGGTTGAATGTGAAGGTGAGGGATGGAGAGAAGGCCAAGGCTCCCGGGGCTTGGGCCTGGGCACCTGGGCAGGTTATGGGGCCCTGTGCTAGGAGGCAGTGGCTGGGTCTGAGAACAGCCCTAGTCAGGGTCTGCAGCTGGCTATGGGTTGAACACGTTCATTGTGCGGAGCTGTGAAGGGTCCTCTGGGACAACTTGCAGCCCCGGGCTCCTGCAGGTGGCTCTTGCCCTCTGAGCATCTTTAAAAGGATCTGACCCAAACCTAACTGCCAAGCCCTTTTCATAAACAGCATGCCAGTCTTTTTCGTCAGCCTGAGGCCTTGACGTCTGAGCTCCCTCACACTTGAATGGCCTCTACTCTTTCCTTCTGCAGCGCCAACATCACCAACATTCAGTTAGACTACGGTGGGATCCGGACGTCTTTCCATAAGGAGTGGTTCTCAGCAAACATCTTACTTGAATTTGACATTGACTTGAGACTGTAAGTCATACAGCAGCAGGGTCGGTGGGGTGCTGTTCCTCCTCAGTGGGAATCCGGGAGTTGGGGGGAGGGGAGAATTTGGCAACTTGGGGAACCTAGATCTTTCTGACTCCAACCTGGTTCAAATCCTGGTTTCTGAACTCACTTGCTGTGTGACCTTGGGCAGGTCACTTCACATCTGTGAGCCCCAGTTTCTTCAGTTGAAATGTGGGTGGCAATCCCTGGTCATTTGCTCATTTAAACCTATGTGAGTTCATTACACTGATTTTAAAAAGAGAGACAGAAACACTTTAATTATATCATCACCTTCCCTCCATCTGTTCAGACTATCCTTTACCATCAGCTGCCCCCAACAAAAGGGAGACCACAGCTAAATGGTACAGATTTTTTAAATAAGATGAACTCTCCACTTCTAAATATCGAAAGGCCCCTAAGCTGGTCTATCTAAAGGATTTTCAGAAGTCACTCTGCCTAATAGCATTTTCACCTTGGTCACTGGCTGGCTGCAGGAGTCAGCAGGCAGGGCTGGTTTGTTGAAAGAGTCACTCTTCCCTTTGTGTTGGCTGTTTCCACCTCCTTCTGTCTCCTGCCCTTTCCCTCCTCCTCCTCTCTCTCTCGTCCCCAGGCCTTTCAATAACAAGATTATAAAGACACACGCATGCATGAACCTCGCTGTGGAGTTCTGGCTGGAGAAAGACGAGTTTGGCCGGAGGCATCTGGTGATAGGCAGTTGCTCTGTGGAGCCAAGCAGCATCTACACGACAGTGCTAACCGAGTAAGGTCCCAGCAGCCCTTCCCTGGGCTGAGCCCCTTCCTGCCTAGCCTTAGCTGTGGCCACACATCTCCACCACTTCCTGGATGAGCCCAACACAGATCTCACCCTTTCCCCATGATCTACTTCTCTTCCTGAGTCGGCATCCCAGTGATAGCCCAGCCACCCTCCCAGGAGCCAGACTCTTCCTCTTCCCCCCGCCTTGCAGCCCACCTTCACTGGTTCCCATCAATGACCTACTGGCAGCCCCTGCTTGCCTCCTCTTTCTCCATCCCCACAGCTACTACCCTGGCTCCTAGACCTCTTCCTGGACCACTGCAGGAGCCAAGCTGGCTTTCTCAGACTCAGACCTCACCTCCTTCACTCCATTCTCCCCCTGCAGCAGAATTAACTTTCTAGCGCAGAAATGTGGTCATGTTCCCTAGCTCCTGCTCCAAACGCTCCAATGGTTCTCCAAAGCCCTCTGAATGAAGAGCAAACTCCTGGATGTCAGTCAGGACCCCACTTGTCCTCTCACCTGTCCCACTCTGTAGCTCTTCGCCCTCTTGTGCCGCTGAAGGACCTACCCCTCCATCAACACACCATGTATTTTCATGCCACCGTGCCTTTGCACATGCTGATCCTTTTGCCTGGAATGCCCTTCCCTTCTTCTCTAGAACTCCTCCTCATCACTCATTCATTCAACAAATATTGTTTGAGAACCTACTATGAGCCAGACATGGCACGCTTGATGCTAGGGATACAGTCGTGAACAAGACAGAAAAAAAAATTGAGCTATTTATAAGGTGCGCTTATTAATAGAGAATAATAGATTTATATACCAGCTGACCAAATCTATCAACTCAGCAGACTATGAGTCTCTTGAGGGTAAGATTTGGGTGTGATTTCTCCCTGTAATTCCAGAATGCTGAAAGCAGCTAGGTCTTCAGTGGCTATCCATTCATTTACTCATCAGATGTTCACTAAATGCCTAAATCATGCCAGGCATCATGGCTAGGACAGTGCAGGGGAAGGACTGAACTCTGGAGCTCTAATGACCTGGTTCTAATCTATTCAGCACTTACTGGCTGTGGGACCTAAGTCACATCACCTCTCTGAAGTTGCCCCTTCAACTACTGCCGACGGCAGTGCCTTTTATATAGTGCTGGCTGAGGATTAAATGACTTGTAAGGTGCCCTCAATGCCCAGCACCTGGCACTGGTACTGCATGGATTTATCTGTTCTGTACATCTACTTCTCTTTCTAGAGATATCTCACCAAAGATGAAACATTTTCTCCGTAACTTCAGGGGGAACCTGGCAAAAGTTATCCCACACCTAGTGGAAAGTCAGGTAAGTTTGAGAAAAATATTGTCCCCCAGGGTATCTTTTGAGTCTGAGGGTCAGGACATATATACTGGCAATTCAGAAAAGAGCTTCCAATCTTGGGCTTCAGGACCTGAAAAATTTCCATTAAAAATTTCAATTTTGTCATCTACTAGCTGTGTGTCCTTGGCAAGTGACTCAGCCTCCCTGTGCCTCAGTGTCCCCATCTGTAGCATGGGAATCACCACAACCCCTATCTCACAGAGTCATCATGAGGATTCCGGCAGACATGAAAGTGCTGTGCATGGCATCCTGTTCGCGCTCAATACAAGGGAGCCGCTCTTGCTATGACTCTAGTTTTCTCTTCCTTAGTCCCTGGCCTGACCCTTCTCTCTGTGCTGGTGGCCCAGGTGTGTCCTCTGATCGGTGAAATCCTCAGACAGCTGGACGTGAAACTGCTGAAGAGCCTCATGGGTGAGTGTCTGCATCCAGCCAGGGAGGAGGACTCAGGATTGGCAAATGGAAGCGGTGCCCCAGTGGAGCTCCCAGTGAGGCCTACTGAGGGGCGTCTGCATGTGCTCTGAGAACACTTAGAGGGGACCATATGATGATGACCATTCCTGTCCCCCGAGAGAGCTAGGACAGCAGAGGGCACCCCTACCAAGCAGGCTGTGCCCCGCGAAGTCACCCAAACCTCCAGATTACCAGATTACCACTCAGTCCTTTAGGGAGCACTGCCTCCGCCCCAAACCTGAGACCACCCACCATTTGCAGATAGATACAGTCCCCACCTTCACGGAGCTCACAGTCTAGTAAAAGGAAGAAGGATATAACTACTTATCATTTGGAAAGAATTTTAATGCAAGTGCCTCAGGCACTGGCCCTTGGCTGGCATGGATGGATGAGAGTCCCCTGCAGGGGCTGGACGGGCCGTCACCCTGGTGACTGATCCTGCCTCTTCTCCTTACAGAACAGGCTTCTGCTCATAAACTCAACCAACTATGAGTCCAGCCAACCCTCCGCGTACCAGACTTGAGCATCCTCCGGCTACCTACTGATCCAGAAGGAGATTTCACACCTTGGGACCTTAAGTCTTCCTTAGAGTAGGGTTTCCACTGCCCCCAAAAACCTTTACCATAGGCCCTGTGGAGTCTTTCCTGTTCCATAATAAACTCTAACTCTGAAGGGTACAGAGGCCCCCCTTCCTGGGCCCTGAGGTTAGGGTTCCAGAAGTCAGACTTGATGAAGGTCCATGCTAAGACTAAATATGCCTGGGTTTGCTCATCAGCCTAGAAATACCAGAGAAAACACTGTGTTTTCCTGTAATTTGCAGCCAGAAGCCCATCTCGAGATTTGCTCATCAATGCGGGGAAGGCCCTGTTGAGATTTCCCATTCCCTCATTCATTCGGCCCGTATTTGTTGAGTACCTACTATGTGCCAAGTGCTTTGCCAGGCTCCAAAGGAGTGCAGGGAAAGGATGACAGAGTCGAAAAGCATAAATGTTGGCACTGAACAGATCTGAGTTCAAATTCGAGTCAGCCCAATGAGAAGTCGCATGTGGGTATGAACCATGTACCTCAGAGTGGCTGCGGACCCCCTGGCCCCCATGGGCCCCCATGGGGCTGGCAGAGTGTGAGCTCAGCAAATGCCTGTTGTTGAGTGGTGGATGAATCTGGTTTGAGGACTCACTGGCTGTGTTGGGGACAAGGCACTTTACCTTCAAGTCTCCATCACCTGCAAAGTGGGGATAGAGGCCTTCCAGGATGTGGAGCAACAGGAGGCTTGACACGGCTGGTGGGAGGTAAGGTGCGCCGCCGCTTTACAAGTCTGGGTGGCAGCATCTACAAAAGCGCCACATAGGCCTGGCCTGTGCCCTATAGCAGCGCCATTCCCCAGCAGGCGCCCCACAGAAGCACGCGCCCGTGGACACCAGGAGATGTGGACGAGACTGCTCATAGCAGCAGTGGTCCTCATAGTCCCTGAGTAAAAACCCCAAATGCCCATCAAAAAAGTGGGTAAGGGGCGCCTGGGTGGCTCGGTCGTTACGCGTCAGCCTTCGGCTCAGGTCATGATCCCAGGGTCCTGGGATCGAGCCCCGCATCGGGCTCTTGGCTCGGCGGGGAGCCTGCTTCTCCCTCTCCCACTCCCCCTGCTTGTGTTCCCGCTCTCGCTGTGTCTCTCTCTGTCAAATAAATAAAGAAAATCTTAAAAAAAAAAAAAAAGAGTGGGTAAATACTGTGGGACAGTCACCCAGGGGAATGCTCTACGGTCATGAAAATGACCTACAACAACACATGACCACGTGGGTGCATCTCAGGCACATAACAAAGCCAGGCATGGAAGAGCACACGCTGCATCTCCCATTTATATGAAGCTCAAAAACAGCAAAAGGAATCCATGCTGTCAGACATGAAGACCGTGGGTAGCCTTGAGGAGAGCGTTAGTGACTGGGAGGGGCTCCGGGCAGGCTTCTGGTTCTTGATCTGCATGCTGGGTGTGGGGAAGGTGTTTAATTTGTGAAAATTCACTGAGCTGTTCACTTATGTGCATTTTTCTTACATACGTTAGACTTTAGCACACATTTTTTAAATAAAAAATATTTACCACAGGGCGCCTGGGTGGCTCAGTTGGTTAAGCGACTGCCTTCGGCTCAGGTCATGATCCTGGAGTCCCTGGATCGAGTCCCGCATCGGGCTCCCTGCTCGGCAGGGAGTCTGCTTCTCCCTCTGACCCTCCCCCCTCTCATGTGCTCTCTCTCTCTCATTCTCTCTGTCTCAAATAAATAAATAAAATCTTAAAAAATATATATATATATATATATATATATATATTTACCACAGGACGCCTGGGCGGCTCAGTCAGTGAAGCGTCTGTCTTCAGCTCAGGTCATGATCCCAGGGTCCTGGGATCGAGCCCTGCATCTGGTTCTCTGCTCAGCAGGGAGCCTGCTTCTCCCTCTGCCTGCCACTCCCCCTGCTTGTGCTCTCTCTCTCTCTCTGACAAATAAATAAATAGAATCTTTTATTTTTTTATTTTTTAAAGATTTATTTCTTTTTATTTATTTGACAGAGAGACAGCGAGAGAGGGAACACAAGCAGGGGGAGTGGGAGAGGGAGAAGCAGGCTTCCCGCTGAGCAGGGGAGCCGGATGCAGGGCTCGATCCCAGGACCCTGGGATATGACCTGAGCCGAAGGCAGTTGCTTAACCAACTGAGCCACCCAGGTGCCCAGTAAATAGAATCTTTAAAAAAAATATATTTACCATGCAGGATGTTTGTAGGAGTATGTGAAAAAATATTTGCAATATGTTTAGCATGCACTAGGTCCATGGGAAATGCTTATGAAAAGTCATTTAAATCATTGTTACTTATCTGATTAATGACTATTCAGTTCTTAAATATTGATTCCCACCCTCTTCCCAAAGAGAGGCAAAGCATACTGAGAAATCAAGGGGAAATAACACATACATATTAATCGTAGTAGCACACACATATTAAGCACTTGGCATGTGCCAAGCTTGGTGCTCAGAGCTTCTATTCAGCGTCTCATCAAATCCTCACAGCAAATCCATGCAGGAGGACCCCGAGGCTCAGAGAGAGAAAGCCCCTAGCCCAACATCACACAGCAAGGAAATGATCAAGCCAACTGCGCTCAGGCAGCCAGACTCTAGAGCCCAGGCTTGGCCCCTGTGGATCCGCCCTCTGGTCCTCCCTCCCTTCCTCCTAACCCCCCTGCCCCCCCCCACACACACACTGAGGGGAAACCGGTGACAGAGGCCATCGGCTGGATTGACAAGTGCAAACAAGGAAGTGTCAACAGCTCAGAGATGAGAATAGGGCGAGAGAGCCTCCTGTCTCCTCCTTTCAATTCAGACCGCCTAATCCGAAATGCTTCGTTGGGGATTTGCAACCCTAAACGCCCATGTTCTCACACACAGGATTCCCCTTGACAGCCTTGGGGGGGGGGGGGTGGGCGGGCAGGGGTGGTGGTGGTTCTAGCTCATGATTCTAAGAGCAAACATAGGAGGGCTGGGCCCCATCCTCCAGTGAGGTTGCCTGGCCCCTTGCTGAAGGCAGCTTTTGTCTGCCTTCCTCCTGACCCTTCGGAGGGTGACTCGGGGCCTCCTTCCTCAAGGGGACTCCTTGGGTTTCTCAGAATTCTATTTTTGTTTTGAGGTTCATAGAGCCGCGGACTCATCATGTTTTCTCCCAGCAGAGCTTGTTACACAATGGGCTTCTATTATGATACCAGAGCTGGGGTCTGGGGGGGATTTAAGCAGAAATTCAGCCCCAAGTGCCCAAAAGCTTGCTCCAGGCCCCACCTGTCCGTGCCTTTTAACTTCCATGCCCTTCCTATAGGGAGTTCTGATTCTGCAGCAGGCACTGGGCTGCAAGCTACATTTGTTTCCAGCTTAGCCCTCTCCACAGCCCCCGGGGTGGGTGCCATTAGCCCCACGTTGTAGGCAAGGGAATCGAGGCTGCAAGAGGGAAAAGTATCTTGCCGAGGCCTCAGCAGAGCCGGGCTTGGGACTCAGGGCAATCTGACGTCACAGCGGTGGGAAGGCTCCAGAGAACATGAGCAGGAACTTTCTGAAGATTCTGTGACATAAACTTGCAAAGTTAAGAGCACTGAAGCTGGACAGCCCGGGATGACGGTCTGACTTCACCTTTTCCTAGCTGGGCTGACCCTGGGCAGGTCACTGTCCTCCCTGAGCCTCAGTGCCCCCACAGGGTTGCTCTGCATGGTATAGAGAGGGTATAGAGCTCTAGGGTCTCATAAAAAACTAGTACTATCATTAGTTGCAAATGTAGGTGGGAAATTCATCTCCGAGGTAAATGGGACTTAAGCAAACTCTGCTTAAGAAAATATATTTTTTCTCTTGCCATTTGCAATGACATGGATGGAGCTAGAAGGTACTATGCTAAGCGAAGTCAGTCAGTCAGAGAAAGACAAATACCATATGATTTCACCCATATGTGGAATATAAGAAACAAAACAGATGAACAGAGGGAAAGGGAAGGAAAAATAAAATAAGATAAAAAGAGAGGGAGACAAACCATATGAACTCTAGGAAACAAACTGAGGGTTGCTGGAGGGGAGTGGGGTGGGGGGATGGGGCAACTGGGTGATGGGCATTAAGAGGGGGGACGTGATGGAATGAGCAGTGGGTGTTGTGTGCAACTGATGAATCATTAAATTCTACCTCTGAAACTAATAAAAAAATCAAGAGAGTGCTGTGAATTGTGCAAGACTGTTGAATCACAGATCTGTACCTCTGAAACAAATAATGCAATATATGTTTAAGAAAAAGAAGAAGAAGAAGATAGCAGGAGGGGAAGAATGAAGGGGGGGGAAATCAGAGGGGGAGACGAACCATGAGAGACGATGGACTCTGAAAAACAAACAGGGTTCTAGAGGGGAGCAGGGTGGGAGGATGGGTTAGCCTGGTGATGGGTATTGGGGATGACACGTTGTGCATGGAGCACTGGGTGTTATGCACAAACAATGAATCATGGAACACTACATCAAAAACTAATGATGTAATGTATGGTGATTAACATAACAATAAAAATTTTAAAAAAGAAAAGTAAGAACACTTTTTCTTTTTTTTTTTTTTAAAGATTTTATTTATTTGAGAGAGAGCACATGAGAGGGGGGAGGGTCAGAGGGAGAAGCAGACTCCCTGCCGAGCAGGGAGCCCAATGCGGGACTCGATCCAGGGACTCCAGGATCATGACCTGAGCCGAAGGCAGTCGCTTAACCAACTGAGCCACCCAGGCGCCCAAGAACACTTATTTTTCACAAAAAAAAAAAAAATCAAGAAAAAAACGAAAACTATTTTCTCATCAAAGTTGGGGCACCCAGCTCCCCGTGAACCCTTTTTGCCTCTGCCCTGCAACAAAACCCCTGGGGTTTCCAAGGCCACCTGAAGATCCCCCCACCAACGCAGCCCCCCAACCTGATCTTGCTCTCGGGCAACAGAACCCAGAACCAACACACCGCCGAAATATAGGACGCAAAGGCCCCCAAAACTAGAACATTCTCCATATTAGGTTGGGGGAGTGTGCAAGTCCAAGAGACACTGAAGAGAACATAGTTCCAGTAGGTCCTGAAAAGTGCCTGGTGCCCTTACTACTCCCCAGGCAAAACTTGGCAGTAGAGGAGGGACATCAGAAACCCCAAGTCGGTGTGCTGGATTCAAGAACAAGGGCACCTATGCCCATGCCCCTTCCAGAGCCACGAGAGGTGGCAAGACCCCAGGGAGAGAATGCTAACTGGAGGGTCTAGGGGGTCCAGGGAGATGGGCTGGGGTCACCACAGTCCAGCCTGAGGCCCAAGGAATTGAGAAACAGCAGAACAATTCTGAGTCCAGCAAGTAGTAAAAAGTAAATGCTAAACCTAAGGGAGCCTTAGACAGGAGGGAGGCACAGTGAGTGTCCCGGCAATAAGGGGGGCCAGACAGCAAGCAGATGTCTCTCCATTTCCAGTCAAAATAGGGACAGGGCAGCCTCCTTTAGGTGCCTTGATACATTTGAAGCTTCTGGGACAGAACTAAAACCCCAGAGGAAAACGGGGAAGTTTCTGCTACCCGGCAAACTGGCATTTGGAATGGTAACTAAGCTACAAATACATGAGAAAGAAAAACATAGACACTTAAGATTATGAACTGAGATTCATGCCTGCTCCCCAGACCTCATCCCCCCACAGCCCAGCGAGGTAGATATTTTCCTCCTATTGTGCAGATGAGGAAACCAAAGTTCAAGGGATTAGAGTCACTTGCCCGGAGTCACAGGATTTGAATCAGGGCAATCTGCACCCAGACCCATCCCCTCTCTGCCATAATACACGTGCAGCCTCCTGGCTTCAAACCAGAGGCTGTGAGCTGTCCAGAAATTAGCTGCACAAACTTCAATCAGTCCCTCCACTTATCGGCCTCAGTTTCCCCACAAAGATAGTAGCAATCTGAACCAACCCGTAAGAGTTGTACCAAGGTAACAAAAAAAAAATGAGGCCCCTTTGAGGATGGCTGACAACACACAAGCTGTGGGAGTCTAGAGAGCGTTTCAACGGGTAAGTGAGTTCAAAGCCATGGCACGAGCCCCTTGGAGGCACCAGCCAGACTCCAACAGGGAGGAGAGCAGTCCCAGTGAAGGCCTGGCATGAGGGAGGGCAGCATGGCTCATCGATTACCTGGGCGTGAGACACAGAGGTGAGTTTTGACTCCACCATTCACTTCCTGTGTATCCCTGGGAAGATGTCCCCCTCTCTGAACCTCAGTCTCCACATCTGATATTTGAGGGGCAACAATACCAACCACTCCCAAAAAAGATGAGATTCAGATAGGGAGAGCACCTGGCACATAGTAGGTGCTCAATAAATATGCATCTCCTCCTCCTCTTTCTGCTTTTACTCAAAAGGTGTTAGGTTTAGCTGCTCTCGCCTGTCTAAGATCTTGACCTCTCCATGTCTCAATGGTTTCATCTGCAAAACGGATTCAAAGGCCCGAGCAGTGGGGACAAATGGCTTATTAATTACTTCATGTGGGGAAAGGAAGAAGAAAGGGTAAAATAGAGACCAGGATGCCACAGCATCCTTCAGGCCTGACAACCTGGAAAGACTTTTCCAGGGTATAAATGTGAAATTTCATGGGATCACGACATGCAAGAAAGCAAAATGGGCAGTCAGTGTACGGCGTGCAGGGTGTCTTCATGTCCCGGCACAGTGATTCGGAGAACAGACTGCAGGCACTGTGAAGGCATTGGGCCCAGGGCCGCGGTGCGCACCTGGACATGTCTACTTGCACCACAAGCCTCGGTTTTCCTCTTGTAAAAGAGGGGAACTCGTCCCCAGCCCACACCCCTGGGAGGATTCATGGGAATGCCGTCTGTGGCAAACAAAGCTGGGCTGGCATTTGGCAAGGGCTCAGCCAAGTGTTGGCCGTCGACAATGTTTCACTGTGATCGTCCAATGCGCGAAGTTCTGACTCTGCCCCATCTTGTGTCTTTGGGCACTTGCCCCGCTGTGCTCCGTGTCCTGTTCTGCAAAGGGGGAGAACAGCATGCCCTCCCTCCCAGGGTTCTGATGAGGATGGACAGCCCCCTGCACGCCGACTGTCCTGCAAGAGACACCCGATGTAGGAAAGTCAGAGGCAGTTTGAATCTTTTGACGCTTTGGGAGCAAGAATCCTCCAAATGGAGAAAAAGAATTGGACCAGGAATGGTAAAGAGCCTCAATACGAGACTGAGGCCCATTTCCGGGCTCCCACGGGCCACCTCTCCCCACATTCCGAACGTGATCTGCCCGGCCGCCTCGGAGCATAGGCCCCCGGCCTTGGCCCTGCTCAGGAAACCATGAAGTCTTTTTTTTTTTTTTTTAAAGATTTTATTTATTTATTAGACAGCAAGGGAGAGAGAAACAGCATGAGAAGGGAGAGGGTCAGAGGGAGAAGCAGGCTCCCCGCTGAGCCAGGAGCCCGATGTGGGACTCGATCCCAGGACTCCGGGATCATGACCGGAGCCAAAGGCAGTTGCTTAACCAACTGAGCCACCCAGGCGCCCAGGAAACCATGAAGTCTTGAGTAACATCCCCATCTCAAGTTTTTCTGTTTAATTTGTCCATCAAGTGGCTTAACTGTCCCACCTACTAATGTGATTGGCAATTATTTACTTTGGAGAGCCCTGAAAGACACCACCAGATCGCAGAATTCTGAATTATCTAGAAACCCATCACCCAATTGCACATTTCCTGATCTGCACACTATAAAAGACGTTAGCTCCTCGGCAGAAGCAAGCAGGAGAGGGAAGAGGCGAGCAGGAGAGCCACCAGGACCCTCTGAGAAGCCTAGGTGAGACCTGCCTGTCCCACGCCCGCTCTGCCGCCCTGGGTGGTAGGGCTGCTGAGCTCCTTGCTGTGGGGTGGGCACTGGCTGGCTGCATTTAGGATCGCTCATCGGGGGTCTTTTTCAGAGGGATTTTCGGGGGAAGGGGGAACGGCCGTTCACTCTGCTTCTCTGAGAGTCCAGGCGCCATGGCTGTCAGGTTTGAATGCGGAAACATAGAAAAGGGGGTTTGCTGAGGATGGGGAGCATGAGGCTGCAGGTGCACACCGTGGAAATCCCATGTTAGGGTTCGCTCGTGAGCATGCTCTTCTTACCCTAAATCCAAATCTCTACGGTGGGAGTTTTAAGTTGAGGTTGCCATTTTGGATTCAGGCCATCATCCACAAACCTCCTAAAATCCACCCCGTTTTGTACATTTTGATGTATTTTTCTGGGATGAGGGTCCTTAGCTTCCATTGCACTCATACAAGGTCTGTTTCCCAAAAGAGATTCAGAGAACGCAATCTAAGTGTACCTCCCCAGGGAGGCCACAACTGGCTCTTTGTACCAAAAAGCCCTTTCAATCCCAGTCAGCCATAGCAGTGACAGTGGGGCTTTGGCTGAATCAGCCAGTTGATGGAATTTTGCCCAAAGAAGCTTTCAGCACCTTTGCTCCCTACCAAATAGACCTAGGAGAGGGTTGGTGATACCTGGGAGGGAACAGTGCAAAAGGTAGCCGGATGTCAGAGGTTGGCTCCCAAATTTTGTTCAAGTTAGCTTGAGGGAGAAGAGAAAGGTATAGAAAAGACAGTGTGTATGTCTGGAGGGGTCAGAGACTTATCTTCAACCACAACTCTACCATCAAGTTACTGTGTGACCTTGGGAAAGTCACTACCCCTCTCTGGCCCCCTGATCTTCTTATGCAATGAAGACTTTGAATGGCCCCAGGATTTCTCCAGCATTGGTCTGGATGAGATGGTGGCTATGGCCATCTGACCTCTAATCAAATCTGTGATTTAAAAGGGCTTCCACAAACCATCACAGGCTAGACCCAGGCCAAAAGACTTAATGGGGATAATGGCAAAACAGTTCAGTCCCTCAGCCTTTTCATTTGCTTTGTCTGAAGAGTGAAAATTAGGGGCAAGGATTCAGGCTATTGCAAGCAAGCCCAGATGAATGGAGAGTAAATGTGATGGTGACTTAATTAAACAGAGGCCTCTGGGTCAGACAGATCTGGCTTCAAATCCTATCCCTACTGTGTGCTTACAACCTTGGGGAAAGTCACTTAAACTCACTAGACTGCCCTTGCCTCACCTGTGCAATTCGGGTGATGAGTGCCCACATCTTAGGGGGCGGTTATGATGAAATCAGTTACTGATCATGGAGTGCTCGGCCTGATGCCTGACCCAGGGGAAATGCTGAGAAGCGTTAGCTATTGTTATGCACTCCCTGGAGTTCTGGAGGTCGGGGGCAGATGGTGGATGAATTCCTCTCTGATAGCCGTGCTACCCACGACTCTATCCACAGACACCGAGAGAGAAGATGTTTCAAATAGGGGGCCTCATTGTCTTCTGTGGGCTGCTGGGCCAGACCACAGCCCTGCTGGACACCTTGCCCTTGCCCCTGGACCAGACCCTGCTTTTGGATGGGACTCCAGCCCAGGACCTAAGCCCCACAGATCTTGCTGGAAGCTTAACGGATGGTAAGTGAGGGTCTGTGACAACCTCTTTCAGGTATGTGTGTGTGTGTCTCTATGTGTCCGCCCAACCGTTCAATGTGGGGAGGAGGCAGGGATGATTGGGGAGAGGGGCTGAGGATCTGGAATTATCAGATTTGACCCCCAAGGATCCACCCTTATACCCATTTTTAGCCCTCAGCAATGGCCTGCTCTCTGAGGGTCTGTTGGGCATTCTTGAAAACCTTCCACTCTTGAACATCCTGAAGACTGGAGGAGGCACTTCTGGTGGCCTGCTTGAGGGCCTGCTTGGCAAAGTGATTTCAGTGGTCCCTCTCCTGAACAATATCATTGAGTGAGTAGTCACAGGCCTTGGTACCCACCCCCACCACAGAACCTCTGATGGAGATCTGGGAGCCCCACACAGTGGCCCTGGAGGAGGGAGAGGGGTGGTCTGAACGGAGAGGGGTGGTCTGAACGGAGGCCAGGACTCAGTGTGAGACCCTTCCCACAGCCTGGCAAGGAACACCAGTCCTCTTGAACCAGTGATTGCCCCCAGTCCTGAAGCATATCTTGAAGCCCCAGCATCATCTATAATCCTCATGACAACCCTTTAAGGTGTAATTAATAATCTCCAATTTACAGATGGCAAAACTGAAGCACAGAAAGGTGCCTGTGCTCACACAACTAGAGTGATGCAGAGCCAGGGACCGAACTCTAATTTACTTAAGTCCAAAGCCAAGGCTTTTCCACCGCACCATGGTAATTCTGTTCTCCTCACCTGTGGAGAGCACAGGTGGCCTCTGATGTAAGCGAGAAAGTGTAAGCTGCTCTCCTCAATGACATCCTCAGTGTAATGGCCAGTGAAGGGTCTGATGTGGGATTTCCCATGAGACACCTGAGAGCTCTCTAAGCAAGTAGCAATTATAGGAAGCTTGATGCCAGGGAGCTGGCAAAGCCTAGGTCCTTGACAGGGCTGGATCAAAGCCATTTCCAAGGCTCCTACCCACCCAGGTGCTTGCCCCTGACTTGAAGACAGACAGATGGCCTTGAGTTTGATTTCCAAATGCACCGTGTACCTGCTGGGTGACAGGGCACAGGGCACTCAGTCTCTCTGGGCTTGGTTTCTCCATCTGTAAAATGGAGATCATGGTGCTCACAGAGAAAAACTATTGAGAGGACTGGAAGCAATGTAATCACCTGGCACAGTGGTTGTGAGGTCGGCTCATGGAAGAGGTTTGCTTCCATCCTCTCTCCATTCTCTCCTACTTCCTGCTCCTTGATCTCCATGGTAACCATTGTTGACTGACCTGCCACTGAAGGTTATGGCAGGATAACTGGTTCCTACCCATAAATGTTTGTGAGGGACTTACTCCACTTGCCCATACCTCATCCACTCATCCACTTATCCATCCCTCCATTTGTCCATCCTCTCTTCCATCTAACCAGTTACTCTCCCATACGTCTGCCTACCCACAAAGTCAACCAATATGGAGTAGGCCCCTTCTCTGAAAGACTCTGAGCTGGCATGCAGCATGCAAATATAAGCCAGACACAGCCTCCACCCTGGCATACCTCAGGGACTTGAGATGAGGAGAGGGCCAGGGTATATCAGGATCTGACCCAGTGCAGAGGTTGGGAAACACTGATGTGTGTTGCCACAAGACGCCCCTCCTGTCTCCCCCTTCCCACCTCATGGGTAGCTCCTCCTCTGGGATGAGTCGAGTTGGGTCAAAGGTGGTCTCTAGGTCTGGGGCTGAAAGAACTAATATTCCTCCCTCCAATGTTGCTCTGGGGGCAGTATCAAGATCACTAATGCCCAGCTGCTGGAACTGGGCCTTGTGCAGAGCTCCGAAGGTCATCGTCTCTATGTCACCATCCCTCTGGGCATAAACCTCAACGTGAATACGTGAGTGGGCCCCAAGGGGGGATGGGGGGTTGGCTCACCAAAGGAAACTCTGAGGACCATGCATAGCCATAAAGGGGGGTGTTGGAGTCTGACAGACATGAGCCTTCAACTCAGATGCAGATGCAGCAAACTTTCCTCTGCAGGCTCCTGGTCGGACGTCTGTTAAAGCTGGCTGTGAAGCTAAACATCACTGCAGAAATTTTAGCTGTGAAAAATGAACAGGGGAAGATTCACCTGGTTCTTGGTGACTGCATTCACTCCCCTTGGAGCCTGCAAATCTCCCTGCTTAATGGGTGAGGCCAGAGGGGTGGCTTCTCCTGCCCAGAAACGGTATTAATGGGATGATGGATGGATGACTGGGAAGATGAAACAATGGGAGGATAGAAGGGTGGGAAGATGAATAGGAGGGAGGGAAGATGGATGGATGGATGGATGGATGGGTAAATGGATGGGTAAATAGCCACTATCTCTTCTTAGGCTGGGCTGACCAATTTTATGCTCCTAGGCCATAAAAAATCTGAGTTCAAGCCCACTGACCACAGGGGCATGTGGAAAGGTGGAGCAGTTCTTGTGTGAACTTGGGACAGTGCTTCCCCAGCTGGAGTCTCAGCTTACTCAGATTACTGTATTACGGAGATACATTGCATTCTTGAGTGAATTCACTAAGATAATAGGTGTGAAAGTGCTTTGTCCCAGTATGGGGTAAAATAGCTCTGCAGCCTATCTGGATTCCTTATTTCAGTTACCTGTCACAAGGGACAGTGAGTCACGCATAATATGTTGGAGTCATCCCATCATGTTTAATATTTACTCAATGCATATATTGTGCTTCACATGTATCATCTCGAGGCCTCATGACAACTACATACTAAGCATTGTTCAGCCATTTATAGATTCTACGAAGTCTCACTGAATACCTACTGTATACTGGAACGAAAGGTTTATTCTACACATACCCACAGTGTGCACTGCTGTGTAGGGCGCCTCTCCCTTTGGACAGGCCCCCTGGTGTTTGCCTGCATGGGGGGGTGGGTGGACAAGGCCCCATTTCAGTCATTTAGTACTGAGACTGATGTGGGCACAGTGGCCCCTCTGAAGGCTTCTCCATACCAACCCCAGGCCTCTGCACTGGCCCCTGGATATTCTCTTTCAGATTTGCTCCCCTCCCTGTTCAAAGCCTTGTCAACAGTCTCGGCAGCGTCTTGAACGAAGTCCTTCCTGAGCTGGTACAGGGCGAGGTAAGTGGGTAAACGTGGCAGCTCCTGATCCTTGGGTCTTAGAGCTTCTCAGGCTGAAAGAAGCCCCTGGAGTAAGCTTTTCTGAACCCCTCAGTTTGATACGTATATTCCATCTACCAGTCTATCTGTCCACTGATTCATCTATCCATGTTTCTTCTTTCCATCCTTCCAAATGCATTGATTGGGTCCTGCTCTGGGCCAGGCCCTGTGCATGTCCACCCTACAGCTGAAATGGATTGGACCCAGCCCCAAGAAGCTCCCAGTGCACCCCCACTATGGCTGTCGACAGGCGCTCTTCCAGCCTATGTGTGGGTGCCCCCTACACCCAGAAACTCACCCCTCCCAGAGCAGCTCACCCTATTCAGAAACAGGTGTCACATCCCACAGTGAACACTGGCTCGGTGTGTGATTGGGCACTTCACATACATGCCTTCCATTTCTCTGTCTGCCCCTGTCACTGTGTAAGCATCCATCTGTGATACTGCTTAGAACCAAACACGCTCAGACACAGAAGAATGATAGAAAATCTCCCCCAGAGAATCCTTCCGGGGGTTGCTGCTGCTCCCAGGGCCACCCTCCAGGTGCCGCTTTGCCCAGTACCTCTCTCTGCCCCTGGCTCAGGTGTGCCCTCTGGTCAATGGCGTTCTCAGCCAGTTGGATGTCACCTTGGTGCATTCCATTGCTGGTAAGTCCCCCCTCTCAGGGCCTCTCTCCCTCTTCAGAAGCAGGGATTTCCCCCAAGGAGCTCTGTCCCTGCAGCTCTCCCCATTTCGGGTTTCTTTTTTGCCTTGAATCATCCAGATAATGTTAAGGGCTGAGCCCTGCCTCCCCCACACCCCCATCAGCCCTGACACTGAGAACAGCTGAGCTGATTGGTGGAAGGAGGTCCTGCCCCTGCCAAGCTTCACCTGAGCTTAGCTGGATCACCAGAGTTCCCGTTCCCCAGCCCCCAGCCTCAGGGGGAGTGTGGGACATCCCTCAACTCCTGCACACTGATATCATCATTCTGGTCTGCATCTTCCAGACTTACTGATCCATGGGCTGGAATTTGTCATCAAGGTCTAAGCATTCCAGGAAAGGGACCCAGCCTCTGTTGAACTGGTGAGTGCTGTTCCCCAATTCCCAGGATTCGGGTGCTTCAGCTCTTCCCCTGGGAGGGGGCCGCAGAGGGCTTGGGACAGAGAGGGATAAACAGTCACAGAGACAGCGGCAGAGACACACGGAGAAGTCTACAGAAATGCTGACAGACGTGGAGAGACACAGGTAGCACCACCACCCAGCTACAAAGAGAACACACATGACTGTGGACACACACACACACACACACACGGACACGGACGCGTGGATACAAAGACACACACTCAACTCAAACATATGCACAAAGAGCCCCCTGACCCCAGGCCTGGGCTTCCCTTGGGGCTGAGACAAGACCCCTAGCCTGAGGTCTCAGCCCCCTCCCCACCCTCTGGAGGGCAGGTTTGATGATGGGCCAATTACCAACAAGAGTCAGTGACCTCAAGGCTCCATTCTGATCGGGGGCTTCTCCCAACAGAACCATTTCCTGCTGCTCAATCCACTCTCTGCCCAGAAGGCGGACCCATGTCCTGGACAGTGACACGGCCACTATTTGGGGACCAGGGCGCCTTCCCTCCAAGGAAACTGCTCTCCCCCTTCTCCCAGCAGGCATGTGTTACAGTCCATGTTCCTCACCAAATAAAGTTGCTCTTTCTCTGCACAGGGCCCTTGTCATTCTTCACCCTCATTCAAGGGCTAATAGATCGGAAAGAGCCCTGGCCTGGATGGTTGGAGCCAGAGAATCGAGTTCTGACCTTACACTGTAGAACCTGATGGTCTTAAGCTGGATAGGGAGATGTTCAGATGAGTGGGCACTTCCGAGTGACTGCTCTGGGGTCCCTAGGAGGGGTGGACAAGGGCTTGGGGGTAGATGTAACCCTCTAGGCAGATGATGACATGCAAGTCCACCACATAAGAAGTGAAATGGCAGATCTGAGAGATGTTCAGGAGTGGACCTGGGCATAGGTGCGGGAGCAGGTGAGGTGCGAGAGGATGAGCTGATTCCAGCGGGAAGATGATGCCTTCGGCTGTGGCCATGCCGCGTGGAAGTACCCGGGAGGCCCAGGGGGAGACATCCAGGAATCGGATGGACACACAGGTCACCTGCCACTCCTCTTTTGCTCACTGGCATCCACTCAAACTGACTTCTGTTTTCTCAGCAAGAGGATGAGAAAGATGACAAAGAGGAAGTGTAGAAGGAAGGACAAACGGGTCCAAGGTGATCACTGCTCGCAGACATAGAGAAGGGTCAATGGAGAAGCATATGATAAGGTTACTGATGCCATGGGTGAGAGTCCTATTTTTGGAGGAAGATGCCTGATTTTTAGGAAGAGGAAGGGATGAAAGGAAGTTGAGACTGAATGCAAATAAGATTTATGAAAAATTGGAGACAAGAATAAAGAACAGGGCTATCCAAGCTGGGGGAGGTTGTCCCCTTGAATAAAAACTAAATATGCTATCATTGTTTGAGGCCCTTAGAGGACTAGCCCAACTGTTTCACTCTGCAAATGAGGGTACTGAGGCCTTGGGATATATATGTGAATGACTTGCACAAGTTATAGTATGACAAAAAGACAAATCAAGGACTGAAACATCCCAGACGTCACAGAAAGCCTTGTGCTCTGGGAGACCCCACTGACCTTGTGAGAATGAGCAGATTCAGGTTGGTGTTTCTCAACCCCTATCAAACATCTCTCATCCTGTCCAGACCTACCACCATCCCCACCTACTGGGGTCACCAGCCAACCTGGCATTGTGGGAAGACAGTCCCACAGTTCAGAACTGTGAGGTTTATTGCAGGAAACCAGCTCCTGAGTTCTGGTGAGGGGACAGAAGGAAGCACCTTCCACGTTCAGGAAGTGGAATATCTTTGGGCTCGGGAAGAATAGTTACATTTCATAAGCAGCTGAATGATCATCGTGAATGTCTGTCTACCTAGTCGGTGACCTGAAGCACAGAAGGGCCTTCCAGACTGGAAACCAACAATTAGGACGTGACTGGGTTTGAAGAGAGTCCAGGCATTAGGTCAATACTGAGTGTCCCCCTTGGCCTAGGTCCCAAGAATCAAGCTGAATAGGGACAGGCACACATGCCTCGTATCATCAGCCCCGGTCCTGCTGCCCTCTGACCGTGGCACCAAACTGCATTCCTGTCTGGACACACATCTACTGCCCGTCTCTGAGTACCATTTTCCCACTGCTTCCCTGAACTTCTTCCTATGGCCCACAGATGGGTCTTCCCCTCTGCTAACAATCTCAATTCCTAACTAATCTAAATACAAAATAGTCAGACAGGCAGCCAGGTCAATCAGAACACATTCATGGCTTTTAAACAGTGACAACATTTTCACATTTTAAAAACTCTCTAGAAGGATGTCAGTGACAATGGCAGATAAAAGACCTCTGAAAATTCTCTCCTACAGAAAAACAATGAGAAAACTGCCTCCCTAGAACTGTTAGAACCAGCTTTTTCAGAACTCTTGGAAATTCACCAAAGATTTGCAGCAATCTGGAGTGTGTTTATTCAATAAAATTGAATAAAAATTCAATAAAAATTGAATCTTGGTAAGAACAGAGAGCTTTGTGGTGTTTTTAGTTTACCCTAGTCCCATCCCCCACTCTCCACAGAAGACTTGAAAACCCAAAGCCCACACAGTCATGGTGAAAATGAGTAGCCTGGAAGCATCTGGAGACAGGCAGAAGAGTATCAGAACAACTTCAAAGCCTCGTTTCCAGAATACTGTCATTATTTGATCTGCCTTGTTAGTTTCCTGGAAGATCCTACTCTCGAGGCTGTCTTGACTTGACTCAGAGTTCACCTAGTATAAACAGCCTCTTCTCCAAGGATATCTGTCAAAACGATAGACAGAGCTTAAGACTGGGAGCTAGTCTATACTCAGGCTTCGGCAATTTGTCATAATTACACTTTATGTGTTCTTACCCAGCAGCCTCTGCTTCCGGTAAGCTGATCTTGGCTGTAATTCTATGTGTTTACCTATCTCTCCAGACCTGCAGAAGATAGTTTGCCCTACAACCTCAATCCTCCGACAGGCCTAAGACAGTTGCTGATTGTCCATGTTGCACTCTTTTCTTGTTGTGAGGATGGAAGTGACAACCTCCAAGCTCTTTACATGTTGGTGCTGAGATGGAAAGTCTGGGTTTTTTATAGTGTTCACCAGTTATGTTTGTTTCCCTGGAGGACGGGCCCCCAGGGCTCCTCATACCACCATCTGGAAAGTGAGACTTCGTTGAAAGTCGTCAACCATTATTACTTCAAATTTATTTCCCATACCATTCTTCTCTCCTGAGACTCTCATGGCATGAATGCAGATCTCCTATTATAGTCCTACTGGTCCCTGAGGCTCTGTTCATTTCTTTCAACTGTTCTTCCTCCTCTTACTCAGATCAGATCCATCTCCGATGTGTTGTTGCACCAGATGCTTTTAACATTATGTTATGAGACTCTGGATCCTGCTTAAATCCACTGCCTTTGAGTCCAGGATGAAAGATATGGGAGGGATAAAAACCCAGGAAACTCACCTGTGGATCACTCATTCTTTCAGTGATGACTTTCCTTCTCGGTCCACCTGCCACCATTTAGTTTTCAGCCTCCTCAAAGAGCCACCTCATTCACTGTGTCCAGGGTTCTAGTTTCATTCCGGAGAAAAGACAAAGTAGAGTAAGCTTCCTCCATCCATCGCAACTCTCCAATCTGCCAAACCAGGTGGCTTATGGCAGATGATGGTGGACTACCAGTAACTTAACCAAGTACCCTCCTGGTCATAGCAGCTTTACTAGAACAGTTGAATGCAGCCTCTGATGCTTGGTATGTAGTTATTTATCTGGAAAATGTGTTCTTCTCAATCCTCATCAGATAACCACTTAGGAGGCCATTTGCACTCACTTGGGATGGACGATGGCACACATTCAGTCTTGCCCCTGCTCTCTGTCACAAAATATAGTCTGAAGGGGTCACCTCATGTTCATGTTCTAGCTACTATTTCTGTGTCACAAACCACCCCAAGATTAAGTGGCTTACATAGCAATACTCATTTCATGATGTTCCATGGTTTCTGTGGGTCAGAAATTCAGGAAGGCTCAGGGTGAAGTTCTGGCTCATATCCTCTGCCACTGCAGCTCGACTTGTAATCGCTTCTTTAATCTTCCACACGGCCCTGTGAGGGAGGTACTGTCATGATTGGCCTCCCTTTGCAGAGGCACAGAGAAGTTGAATACAATCCCTGAAGCCATCAGCTGGGGGCAGGTGGGGCTGGGGCAGGAGCAAGGCAGCCAGACCCACAGAGGGGAGATCAGAGGAGCGGTCGCTCATTCCCCATCTACCTCCTCCTCCCACAGCCCACTCCGCTCCCCCACACGATCCCACGGCCCCCACAGGCATTGCAAGGAGAGGCAGGAAGAGCACCAGTGGGCTCGTATTGAGTCCCAACTCTGTGCCAGGCTCTGCTCTAAGCATTCACTGTAGATTAATTTCATTAATCCAATAGCCCTGGAGGGTTGTGTTGTTATTGCTGAACTTCACAGATGCAAAGCCTGAGACACAGAGATAGAGTCACTTGCCCAAGGACACGCAGCTGGTAAGCCTGGAGCCAGGATTCAAGCCCAGGCTGTCTAGCTCTGTAGGCTCTGTCTCGTGTCTAGATAAATTTGCCCTTGGGGAGAAGTAGGTCCCCTCTTAAAGGGAGCATCAAAGAATTTGTAGGGAGACAATTTAAAGGGGAACATTAAATAAATAGAGGTAATGGTGGCTCATATGTGGCAGAAGTTGTGGAGGTGAAATGTGAGTGACTGGAATCTAGGGAGCTTGGGGACCCGTCCTGCAGCGCCTGACTAACCTAGCTGCTGGATCCCCTGAAGGCCCCAGGATCCTAGCCTTGCACCTGCCCTCGCACACATGTCCTGTGGCCACTGGGAGACGCTGCTGCAAAGCAACCCAGCCGTCATCTTGAAGATTAACATTTACTTAGCACCTTGCTAAACTCTTTCAATGCAACATTTTATTTAATCCTCACAGAGATGGAACCTCTAAGGCCCAAGATCATAGAGCTTGTGAGCAGTGGATCCAAGATTCTAATCCCAGCAGTCGAACTCTAGAGCCCAATCCCTTTGCCAGGGGTTGCAAATTCATGAGCCTC